TCCCCCCCTCGCATGGGAAAAGCTATCGCAATCCTTGGCGGTTCGCATGCCAACTTAACAAGGGACGGGAGCATGCAAGGGGAAGGGGTCGGCAATGGCCATCGATGCGTTTCCCTTGCTAGGGCAGACATGGCGCAAAAGGCTACCCTGCCTCTCGCGGACGTGAAGGTGGTGGTTGTGGCAATGGCAAGCAACGTGCGAGTGTCAGTGGCCACAGTGCTACAGTTGCAGCAGATACGCAGATGGGCCGCACATGAAACTTCGTACTGTGCTTTGAATCTCTGTGATATGACATCTCCCTGCAGTGTCCTGTCCCCGTGGACTGGCGGTCTGCGTCTACGGTTGGAATGGACGGCTGCGAGAGCTCCCTCTTTTTTTTTTCTTTCACTTTTGTTACCTTACCTTTATTACTTTCTCGGCTCTGAAGAGTTTAGTTCTCGCTCGTGGAGAAGTTAAAATTTAAATATAATTCAATCTATGAACAATACTAGTATATAGTACCGAATATAATTATTATAAATAATCATATAATATATTTTTATAGTAATAATTATTTAAAGCCTACAATGTACTTTCTCTATCTAAAAAATAATTTCCTAACAATTTTAGAACAAATTAATAAACAAGGGAAAAGACTATGCTACCACTCGTCAAGTTGCTGGACCTTAATAGCTTTTCATCTACCAAGACTCTTAGTTGAGCCGTGTTCATTTAAAGTATTAAATGTTGATGTCATTGTACAGAGCTTTTCACTAGCAGTCTCTTCGTTTAGTCGCATTCGACTTATAAGCCATGTGGTTTATCGAGCCAACGAATAATATTTTTTCTCTCACACTAAATCGGTCGATAGTACTTTTAGTCATGACTTATAAGCCAAACAAGTTCAAACGAATAGGGCATAGTCTTGTTGAGATAAATGTGACCATCAGCTTTAGGGAAATTGATTTTTGTGGAGACAAAATTTTATCTAGAAATGATTCTTTCAGGGAGTATAAGCATTGACTCGGTTAAAATCTAGAACTGTAGTTTTATCCAGGATGAATAGAATATTTTTCCATTCTGAAATTTCTTGGTGTGTAAATTTATGTCCGCGTTTGAGCTTCGGGGTATCGGTTCTCTGGCTTTATTCAGGCTTACAGGAATTTCTTAAAACGTGGTAGGGTAGAGAGTTGTATTTACAAGGTAATTATAGTTATAGCCCTTGTTTAGTTCGCGAAATTTGGAATTTTGGGTTACTGTATCACCTTCGTTTTTATTTGGTAAATAATGTCCAAATGTTGACTAATTAGGCTTAAAATGTTCGTCTCGCAATTTCTTAAAACGTAGGGGCATTAGAGAGATTGTACTTTTTTACAAGGTAATTATAGTCTAGACTTGTTAGGTTTGATTTCATAAGAAAGTAAAAAACCTACGTGCTTTGGTATCAGTTACTCATGCTTTGTTAACGCTCATGTAAAAAGTGTTCAGGGCAACAAGTGGAGGTTGCGAAGATCAAACACAAAATATTATATTTTACCATTATTACTGTACAACACATGTGAAAAATCGAATTCTATGAGCCTATGATCTCGATTTTAGTTAAGCCTAAGAAACATCTTGTGTAATTTTTCCTCGCTGTGCACGGATAATCACCTATTTGTACGTAGGAGACAAATGTTTGACTTGCTTGTCAAACACTAAAGAACGAACTGCTATTTTGAAGCCGGCATCTTCTTTTATCTTGTCGGAATAAACAACTTTATCGGCCGTATTTAGGTCGTGGTCAGTTCTATCACATCGGATGTTTGCGTATGCATAGAATAATAAATATAAACTAAAAAATAATTAATTATATAGATTATGATACTTTACAAGGCGAATTTTTAAGCCTAATCCGTCATTGATTTGATAATGTGGTGTTACAGTAACGCATGTGCTAATTATGGATTAATTAGGCTTAATAAATTTATCTCGTGGATTACTGAGTACTTGTGTAATTTATATTATTATTACTATCTAAACACTCTTATATGATATCCGATGTGACACGTCTAATCTTTAGCCCCTGGATTTAAATAAGACTTTATACCGGCGGTAGCTTTTTTAGATGGAAAATACTATAATACTCCAAGAGTTATCTTTGGTTAGCCCATCTTTAGTTTCTCCGCTAAAACTTTATACACTATCGTATCGAATGTTTAAACACATACATAGAGTATTAAATATAGAATAAAAATAACTAATTATACATATTACTATTATTTTACGAGATAAATCTTTTAAGCTTAATTAGTCCATAATTTGACAACGAAGTGCTACAGTACACACATGTGCTAATGATGAATTAATTAGGCTTAATAAATTCGTCTCGTGATTTATATGGATTATATAATTTTTTTTTTTATTAATATCGAACACCCCAAACGACATCTTATGTAACATATGATGACACGTCAAAACTTTACATCCTGATCTAGACATCACCTAAAGCAAGCATATCGACTGGGGTCCACGTCCATGCCTCCATGGTCACGGGGGAACATGTTTAAAAAATGCACGATAGCCTTGAGTTTTGAAAACTAGGGCGCCAAACGAAGGGTGCTTCCAGTTCCAGACACTAGTCGAAACTCGAAAGTGTGCAAGATAGACTGCCAAAGTGCCAATTTTTTGAAATACAGTATTTCAGTATATAAAGACGTGGGAAACATGAAATCAAGAGCTTGTTTAGTTCTCGGATTTGGGAGTGGCCAAATAATTAATGTCGTTAATTTTGTTTCAATTGTGAATTATTTTTATTTTTTTATAATTATATTCAAAAGATTCAAATCAAAGTAAAAACTAAATCATGACGGAAATCTTTTTATTTCAAAATATTTGGAAACTAAACGGTGATGATGAATCTTTGAAATACAGTGCATCAGTATTAAAGTTTAGTGGGAAACATGAAATCAAGTGAGTTCGCACTCAAAATCAGGTCTACCAGTCACCCATACCGGAAATCACGCTCAAATCAGAAGCCTGACCTGGACGGAAGCGTACGTTTCCCTCGCGTACTTCAGGGGCGCAGGCGCCGTGGCACGCGAACCCAGAGGCCAGACCGCCAGAGGGAGGACTCGTCACAGTCGTCGGTCTCGAACGGCGGAGCGGCAACGAATCGTCCCGCACCATCCGACCTGACGGATGCGTGTTGTCGCTGCCTTGCCCTCTCGATTCGGGTCGGTCAAAGCAAAAAAACGTCACCGGACGCGCGATTTCCACCACCGAACGGTGCGTTTCCTCGGGCTCGCCGACGACCGCAGGGCGAAAGGTACGGGGAGTGCCTCACTGTCTCTCCGCACCCAGAGCAGTCGCTGAACCGATGGGCAACAAGCAGCAAAGCCAGCCATCTTTCCGTACCCAGAAGGCCCGTTTCCAACGTGAGAGGCTTTTTCACCTTTGGGCCTAATTATTTTGGGCCCTCCGTTCTGGCCTTACGGGCCTTTCCCTGTCAAGCCCATCTCACCCGTAATTCCCCATCATGTTCACGGGCCTTCCCCGGCCGGACCGGATGATTTTCCGGCCTTTCCCTGTCAAGCCTCACCGCTGATTCCGCATCATGTTCAGGACTCAGTAGTCTCTTTCAATGTCTTCTGAGCAGTAACTATAGTCACTCATGTTTTATGTCTTCTAGTGCATATGCACTTGGATTTTATTATTTTCATATGATTTTTTTGATGCGTTTCAATCTCAAAATTTATGACGCTGTATATAAGATGTACACCATTTAAAAAATTCTAAATACTGTTAAGTAAGTTTTTTTTTACGATTCCATCGAAGATGTTGTATAGAATATTTTCCCTTCAAACATACCAGCAAGATCCGATCGTCTGTAAACAACTCTTATATCTAAAATACACCGCCGGTTGTGTTTCAGATACATCAACAGGTTTCAGATGCAATTTTTTTGCACTTAGTGGAATAATAGATTCGTCTCAATACACCGGTTGTTGCTTATATCCTATCTAAACATGGAACGCTTGGTGTTGCCTTTGCTTGGTGCCCTAGTGAATAGCTAATGACCTCATCTTGACCACGTCATCGTCTTCATCATCGGTGAGCTCGTCTTCGTCCTCCGCGTGGCCCAAGTGGTCGTACTGCTTGACGAGGGCATTCCGGTAGTCGGCCCACTTGCCATCGATGTATTTCCTCATAAGGTACTCTCGACGGGATGTCTCGGACTTGCTGGAAAGCCTCTCGGCGGAGATGTCGGTGAAGGTACGGGGTGGAAGAGTCCTCAGGAACCCGATGAACTTGGGCGTTGGGCCGGGTCTCCTTGGCCTTGGCGACCTCCTCCCTAGCCTTGAGCCAGCGATGCATCCCTCCGGGGACATCCCACATCTCCCTCCAGAGCCCATCGGCCGCAAACGCCTCCTTCTTGAGCTTGAGGATATGGCATCCCTCCGACGTGCTCGGCTCCTTGTTCTCCGTCCCCGTCCCCTTGGTGATTTCCTCAGCCAGCTCCGGCGTCTTCCTCTTGAGGGTACCAGCAGCCTCCACCGACGCGCTCTTCATTGGCATTGGCGGCGGGGATATGGCAGAAGCCGTCGTCGCACTCATCGTCGACCGAGCCCTCTTCTCGATCTTCTGGAATCGAAGCTGTTGATCTGGTTTGTTAAGATGGCTTGGAAGTGAAGGAAAGGCAAGAGAGGAGTTGCCCGTACATATATATTGCGCTGCCATGCCCCGCGTTGCGTTCGGTATCGGAATCGTATCAGCATCGGATCCAAAAAAAAAATTTCTTTAGCAGCTCCCTCCCCTCTCGCGCTCGTGGCGTTACGTACGTGTGGCATGGGCCGGGAAGCAAATCCGAAAGCGGGTTCAAGGAAATACGTCTGAAACCTGTTGATGTATCTGAATTTAGTATATAACATCTCTACTTCATTGCACACAACACCTGCCCTATTGTAGATCATTAATACAAGACCTTCATCTGAGCAATCATAATATTGCAACCAAAACTTTCGATTGTGTCTTGCGATTGGTCAGTCTTCGGAGACACTGAGACCAATGAACTGAAATCCAATTGCGAAATACATGATCGATTGAGGAAGAACAAAGAGGTAAAAATAGTCATCTCTGTATAAGTAGTCGAAGCACGCAGAGGCCAAAAGGAATAGTCCGATAAATATCTCCAGGCAATTGAACCTGACACGAAGCAGGATAAGTTAGCACCAAGGCCCAAAGCTATGATACAATAGGTGTACGTATCTGCTGAATATGTTATCCTCTAGAAATTACCTGTCTTTGAAACGATAGTTTCCTGTAAGACTGGCAATCGATTTCAGCTTCTGCAAATTCCCCAGCTTTTGTGTAACAATCCATTCATTGGCCCTGTCAGCTTCGAAAAACCCTATCAAGATGGCTTTAGAGCGATGCAATGCCATTACATTCTCAAATAAGACCCACAGTATAATCAGATGGATAGACCTGCAACACATTAGGAATTCTGGATATGTAATATTCTCAAATAACGTTTGCAGCTATAAAACTCAATAAAGCTAACACCAAGCTAACCTTGGAGTCCCAACAGAGTTGAGAAGCACTATGGCTGTGGGGATATAGATCAGCTCCCACACAGGAATCTGCGCTTCTGGTAATAAAATGTTTAGAGGAATCAGGACGCTGAAGAAGAAGAATGTGAAGAAGGTCCCTATGATCCTCCGGGCAATGAAGAAGTCATAGATCATATACAACTTCTTCCAAACCGAGACTTTCTGCACAGGGAAAACAACAGAACATATGGACAGATAATCATATGACAGAATTTTCATGTCACTGCATGTCAGGGAGTAGGTTGGTGTACAAGACTAACCTTGGCAGCAAGAATTTCCCAGAACATTTTCTTGAACAGGAGCGCAGGTCCACATGACCAGCGATGCTGCTGGGACCGGTACGCCTTCAGAGTACTTGGCAGCTCACTCTTAACCTGAAAGCAAATTGTAATCTCGGATCAGTTTGATAAACTTTTGTCTGACATGATATTATGATAATATCCTGGATCAATTTGTCAGAGCTGTGAACCTTTATGCTCCCAACGTAGACGAATTCCCAGCCCAAGAGCCCTGCTCTGAGTGCTAAGTCCATGTCCTCAGCAGTAGTTCGGTCCTCCCAACCCCCGGACTCGACAATCGCTTGCGTTCTCCATACTCCAGCAGTTCCTGCGTGCATGAATAAATAGCATTCACATTTCTCGAGCACAGCTGAAGTTGACAGCGTGACATGAACAATTGCGACGGCGCAGCGGAGGAGAAAGAGAGCAGTAGGTACCGTTGTAGCCAAAGAAGTTGCAGAGGGAAGAGCCAGCTTCCTGCTCCACCTTGAAATGGTAGTCCATGGACATCTCTTGTATTCTCGTCAGCAAGCAGTCATTGGCATTCACTACAGGGCAGCTTAAACAAAAGCTATGTCAGCAGATGGAACTACATCTTGATATGAGACAAAGCAGGACACAAAGCTGGAATTGAACTGACTGATGAACGTAGATAATTGGGTCTTGTGGATCTACTTTCCTTTCACTAACTAGATGAGGCCGAAAGCTCAGAAAATAGTCCAACATTGAAAATGGGCTACAAAATCCAAGCCTAGTGCAACATTTCTGTGGCTTTCTTGAAGCCCAAACAGACCCAAGTAAGCCCGTAACTATGTCACCACCCTTGTGCTCGAACTCGACAGGGCAGACCGGCAGAGCCGCAGAGGCAGCGGCCAGCGGGCAGCCAGCTCCTAGCACGCCCGGCAGCAGCATCTGTCTGGGCTCTATTACGCTGTAGTTGGCCAGTTGCAGCGCAGGCAACTTGCTTCTTCTGTTCACTTGCCAAACGATTGAAAAGAAAACAGTGGCAATCGTTGTCGGCTGCCAGTGAGCGCGCGCGCGAGAGAGACTCACCGAACTTCCAGCGCGTCTGCACGAGCGCGAGGCTGGGGTTGTGGACGAGGAACGGGACGGTCTTGACGAGGAAGTCCGGCGCCGGCTGGAAGTCGGCGTCGAACATGGCGACGTACTCGCAGCCGCGCACGTAGGCGTGGCGCATCCCCTCCTTGAGGTTGCCGGCCTTGTACCCGGCCCTGTCCTTGCGCGTCTCGTACTTGACGTTGATCCCCTCCGCGGCCCACCGCTCGCACTCGCCCTTCACCAGCTCCTGCCCAGCCCAAGCAAGGAGCGAGATCGATTAGTCACAGAAAGGCAGGTCAAAAGAAAGGGAAGAAAATGGCTAACTATTTTTGTCTGGTCTCCACAGTAGCTGTAGGGCCGTGCATTCCAGCCGGCTCCCGGTTCTTGTGGTGCACGTTCGTTCCCGTGGCAATTGGCAGGCATTCAAAGTGACAGTGGCAGGTGAAAACGAATTCCGATCTCACATTCTCACCTTGATGACGGCGTCGGTGGAGTCGTCCAGCACCTGCACTATCAATCGATCTACCGGCCATGTGAGCCTGCAAGCTGCCCCTATTGATAGCTGGTACACCTGCGTACGCGTTTCAGGCTCCTGTCAGAGATGTGCCCATCCATGATAGATTACTCTGAAATTTTGAAGACAAAACATCCCTTGTTCTGCATTCTGATCCACTTTTTTACCCTTAACAGAACTATGACCAGTGGAGCGTAGTAGTGATGCAAAGTTAATTGGTTCAATGCAAAACTCTTAAAGACTAATTAAAGAGATTCAGATGCTGCTGTTTAAGCGCTTGAGGATCAGCAGCTCAGCAATTAGCTTACTCTGACAGTCTGAGTGTCTGACTGAACAACCGTCAGAGTTCACCGAGAGCACTCGCAGCAGAGTCCCCCTGCGGAAGAACACAGAGGCGCCAGCGACATACAGTACAGTACATACCTCCTCCTCGTTGTACATGGGGATCTGGACGAGCACCATGGGATAGGCAGCTGCCTCCTCGTCCTTGTCCGGCCGCGCGATGGGGTCGCACCTGTACACCCGCCACGGCCGCCGGCGCCGCAGCTTCATCACGGAGCTGACCGTTCCCAGGAACACCTTCTCGGCCAGCACGATCACCGACATGGCCGTGCACAGCAGCACCGCGGCCCGGAGCAGCGGCACGAGCAGCCCGGCCCTGACCTCCGCCCACACCTGGAGCAGCGCCTCCACGAAGGCGGCGATCGTCGCGGGGAACGAGAGCCGGCCGTACGCGCCCAAGAAGACCACGTCACCGACGGCGCGCAGCGCGTGGCCACCTGCTGCATTGCCACCGGCGCGCCAGCGGGAAGAGGTTAATAAAGGCGTACTACGAATAGCCCATTTAGCAGAAGGAATTGCTACTCGTCCTAGCAGCAAGAAAGAAGCTGAGTGCACGTACCTTCCATGGCTTGCTGCGTGCGTTCAGCGGCGTCGCACTTGAGTTCAGGCAGTGCTGGTTTGAGGAGGCAACAACGGTGTTGGTTGTGGCATGGAGATAGAGAGAGACCACAGAGTGGGAGAATTGCCGATCGAGTTACTGCAAGATCGGATTGACGTCTGAGTCAGATCTAGGGTACACGCGACTCTGGTCTGTCTCGCATCCGGCCGGCTCACTGCAGTGGTTGGTTGTTAGCCTGAGTGAGCACCTTTACAGTAGATGTCAGTTTGTCATCATCTGTGCGATCGCGCACCTACGGATTCCTACTATGGTTTCATGCGCACGAGAAATGCTTTTCTCGTCACACGTTGCCATGTGAGCCCTGTGGGATAGACTAGTGTAGGTTTTGGACGCTCTGGCCAGTTTTGTGCAGCGGAGCAGAGCCAAAATGACCGCATCCAATGGACAGTGCGGTTGGTTGGCTCTCAGGTGCAAGCGGGGCGGGCTGCGGACAGCCCGCACCACGCCGCGCTGCCTGCTAATCTTTTTTGCGGGCTGTGCGGACGCCTGCCACACAAATGCTCGCAAACCGCATCCTCCTGGCAGATTTAGCGGCAGAGCCTGAAAAACCCACTTCAGCCCGCTATAGCACATCCTTTAGTTGCAGCAAACTAAACGACCTGTTGCAGGCCCGCAATCTACCAGAGACTGAATCTGCACAGAGCACGATATACACACTTCAACCACGGCAAGTGTTGGCTTGGCCTCCGGCGCCGGTGCTGTGGCGGACACCTCAGCCGTTGGCGCCTCAGCAGCGGAAGGTGTGGCCGCGGGGGCAGTGGGAGGTTGGCGCGGCGGCCGTCCTAACTCCCTCAACTCGCGAGATTCCGTGCAACTGTGGTTCGCAGCAACGTGTTCGGTGCATCAAATTAATTGCAGCGATGGATAGATATGCTTAACTACTCGTAATCGTAGCAGCCACACTCGGCACCTTTGTACTTCTTTTTGTTTATGGGCATAACAGCCTGTTCGGGAGGCCGTATCGTATCGTGGATTATTTACTGCTGGCTGATTTGGTGTGAGAGAAAAATACTGTTTCCGGCTGAAAATTTACGATCGTTTACGAGCAAGCGAACAGGCTTGAGTGTGTGCCAATTATTGGAGCACGTCCTTCTTACTATGTGCCATCGTTGGAAATCTTTGCCGTTGATGGCTAGTAGGGCGCAAATGCTTGCTTCGGCGACGCCGCGAGAGCCGGTGGAGTGGCGGCTGAGATCACACGATTAATGTATCAAATTAACAAGATGGTCCTGTTCAATTCTTATGTTATGGCTCTTTGAATCCATTAGCTGCTAATAGTTAGCTAGTTGTTCATAGTTAATATTAGCTAGCTAACTATTAGTTGTTGTTAGCTGGTTTTGGCCAACTAGTAGGATAGTTGTTAGACTGTATTCAACTAACAATTAGCTTAACTATTAGTTGAACCCATCGGGATCCAAAGGACCTAATTATTATAGCAGCTAACCATTAGCTCTATGAATCTAAACAAGCTCTATATCTTGTGTCTTGTGTGCTTTCAAATTACTTCATTAGTAATTATTGTTTATGTTTACTGTAGTTAGAGATAAATGTTCCACCATAACGAACTACACGCTACATCTTGTTTTATTGCTTTGGTTCATATCACAATCTTGACTCTTGAGATATATATCAATACATGGGACCTAAACTTCGTTTAATTTAGTACCACATATTGTTTGTACAATTCACTCATATCCCGCTTTGCAGACTAATGACTTTATCGATGTTCTTTTTTTTCTCGTGAGATGTAAAAGTTTTACCATCAACTCTATGGATTACACCTTACTTAGTTGCCGGTCAACATTACAACCCCGCTAAAGGCCTAAGCCTAGTGCAAGCAGGTAATGTCGTTAACTATTTCATTCTCTTCTCTCTATTGCTTGTCTTAGTTATCTCTTTTTGTTGTTGTAGAGTGGGCATCAAACTAATAACTCATATGTAAGCAAGAGAAAACAAGTTACATTGGTAACCGCTTAAGGGCGACCCTACTAAGTTTGGATGTAAAAATGAGACAATGGTGGGCGGGGCAACTCTACACAGGTTCTCGTTCTCATGCTAAGATAAGGCATATTGAACTTTGTTTCCTATACTCTTGTGCCCAATTTATAGGACTTGTTTCCTAATTGATGTCATAATCGACGTTCATGGTTCTCATTTGATATCAAAATGTTTCTGTTGGTATCATGTAAGTGATTCAATCACGCAATGCACGCATTTATGGGGAGCTTGATCTATAGCTTGTGTAGTTTTAGGACTAACATGTGTTCAAGTCTATTGTAGGTCCCATAGATTGAGGCAAAAGGAGGGAAGGTGAAGAACAATACTATACTACTCAAATGGATTGTACTTCCTAAGTGGAACAATGGTAAAATGTTGCCACATGTATAACTTTGCTACTAATACTTCTCTTTGTGTAAGTTTCATGTAGCAAAATGTACACTCAAGGCCCTTTTTTGGATGGATGACAAAGAGGGATGAAACTAAAGCAACCTTTCCTTTGGATATATGGAAATCGAAGCAAAGATTCCACAAGTTTTGGTGGAGAAATGGAACTATGGAAGGCTTCAAAATAAAGGAAGCAAGGCAAAGAAAAATATCAAGGATTAAGAGGGAGGGAATACACGTAGGCCTCATTTGGGAGGCTCAATCCAAGGGGACATCCCGACACTTTCCCTAGGCCGCCCCTTCCCCCGGCACGCGAAATTGCCCTCGGGCCACCTAACTCCACCATTTGGAAGGTCACGCAAGGGGGCAGCCTAACCCGACCACAACCTTTTCCCTGGGGCAACACTCCCCTACCTCCTGTGTCGAGGCATGGCATCCCTGTGCGCTAGAGGCCTAGAGCAAGGCGAGAGGTCATGCTAGCACGCACCAACATCGTTGTCCCTGCAACCTTGCCTTGGTCGCCTCGTGCCCCATCCACACCTCAGCCGTCACCGCCTTTATGATCCATAATCGTCTTGGCATCTTGTTCACAATGAAATCAAGCGGTGTCGTTGAGTTCACGATGCAAGCAAGCGGAGTCATGAACAACTGCCGCCTCCGTCTCCCTGGAGTTAGATGTACCCAAACAGCAGCAGGGTACATGATTGATCTCCCCTGCCATGGAAGGGGATCTGATCATCCACAAAAATCCCCTCAGGGGCTGCTGTTCTCCGAGTGAATTTGCCCTCTCCTACCAAACGAAGCCCTAGTGTCGAAAAGATGAGAGATAACTGGAAATTTGATGATTCCATGGACATACATAAAAGTTAGAATGCCTTAATAAAATCACTAAACTTAAGACATTCAGTATGCCCATGGGCGCTTGTTTGGTAGAGCTTCACTTTTTTATTTTTTTGATGGAGTGATTCTAGTTGAATCTTGTGAGGGAGCGGGAAGTAGATTATAATTGATTCTAGAATGATTTTGACGGGGATTGAAGGAGTAGTGAGGAACGGATTTTTTTTAGCTCCCAACTCCTAGCGTAAATGGAGAAGTGATTCTGGTATGCACAAGAATCTGCGTGGATTTTAGCTCTACAAATAGGCCCGTTGGAATGAAAAAACTTGGCGGTATATCAATAAATATACAACAGAAGAAGTGGCGATGTTAAAGTAACATACAGCTCCCCATTTATTCGACAGCTCAATACGGAGTAGTAGTTTACATTACCTCGAACCAGACCCAACGTGATTTAGTAGACTACGAACCAAATGCAGGGCATCACCGTAGCTCACATACATCACCGTCGCTTTCATACTACCCTGCGCCGGGTGCCCGGTGGCATCATCGCACCCGTCCAAATTCCCAAGGCACGTAGCCGACGTAGGCCAACCACCATCGCCCCTCGCCAGGCGCAATTGCGCAAATGAGCCGCACGCATCAAAGCCGGGGGAGAAGAGCCGCCTAAATAACATGCCCAGCGCGTCCAGGTCCCGCGACAGGAGGGCGTCGGCGTCGCCAGTTAAACTCACTCACCACTGGTACTTGGCCTTGACAAGCACGTCCTCATACAGCACGGCGGCGTGGTCCCAACTGAGGTCCTGTGCCATGCCGCGCGCCTGCAGGCCGCGCCAGCTCTCCTTGTAGTTCCGGTACGTGTTGAGGCAGTGCGAGAGCGCGTCAATCATCCGGTTCGCCTCCGCGCGGTCGAAGGTCCACCCGAGCCCGGTGTCGTTGAACGGGTCGAACGGCGCCACCGTGTCCCGGAGCCCGCCCACGGCGTGCACCACGGGCACGGTCCCGTACGCCATCGCGTAGAGCTGGTTCAGCCCGCACGGCTCGAACCGCGACGGCATCAGCAGGATGTCCGCGCCCGCCGTGATGCAGTGCGCCAGGGGAACCGAGAACCCGATCCACGCGCGCACCTTGTCGTTGTGCTCCGCCTCGCACCGCCGCAGCATGTCCTCCAGATCGGGGCGCCCGGTGCCCAGCATCACCAGCTGCACGTCCTGCCCCGCGATCCAGTGGATCGCGTCGGCGATGAGGTCCACGCCCTTCTGTCCATCCAGACGCCCGATGAACCCAATCAGTGGCACGTCGTCGCGGACCGGCAGGCCGAGCTGCCGCTGCAGGGCGGCCTTGCACTGCCGCTTGCCCGTGTCCAGCGTCTCGAACGTGTAGTTGGTGTAGCCGTCGGAGTGGAGGTGCACGTCCACAGCGGGGTTCCACTCGCTCATGTCGATGCCGTTCACGATGCCCTGCAGCTTCCAGTCGTTCTGATTTATGATGTCGTGGAGGCCCCACCCACCATCCGAAGTCTTCAGCTCCCACAGGTAGCCATTGCTGACGGTCACCACCCGGTCTGCCGTCTTCAGCCCCGCGGCGAAAACGTTGCTGTGATCGCCACCGATATTGTCGAACAGTTTGAAGTGATCGATGTAGTGTTCAGGCAAGTCAAAATTGACGAAGTCGTCTACAGGACCACGACCCTGCAGCAAAAGGAAAATTGAGCATAACTGCATC